AAACCAAACTCCACCTCAGGCTGAAACATATGTGTCTGTCTCGTGGGTACAATATCCATGGTAAGCAGCAGCTCGAGGAGCACTGAGGTCTATATGTGTGCAGTATTTCTTAAACTATGGGTCTGGCCCTTAATTGGATCACAGGTCTGTTTCTGGTGGGTCCTCACACGTCAAACGCACCAGTTTGTTTTAATCAGCTCAGGTCTCAAAGCGAAGCTCAATTTAGACAATTTATGCCTGAGCTGCAAAGGTTTACTAAACCTGGCTATAAAAGTGCGCTGTGTGTGAGTCCCTGTCAGCCTATACGGACTCCCTGTGCTATGGTGGCCAAGCCAAGGCCAGCGACTGGTGGATCCACTGGGAGTGTAATAACAGATTAATGTGGCGTGCCAGGCCCCATGACCAGACGTGTTTGACGTTAATGCTCCACTGTATATTATCCAGCTTGCAGAAATGTTGGATGTGAGCGATGGGATCCAAGGACAGGGATGTTTAGGTACTAATTACCAAACAGCAAGGCACAAGTCTCGCTCCATATTTCCTTACTCCTGTGGAAACACTAGGCAGGCTCCATTTATTTTCTTTGACTGTTGTTTCTGGCAACGCCGCGTCTCAGTAAACACCACTCGCCCACCATTGTAAATCCGACAGGCGCAGATCTTTCAAGTTAGACTCCTTTGAGGAAAAATGGAGACAGATCGGATGGCGGCGCTCGGGTTTTCCGTCTTAATGAGAGAGTGGAGAAGAGGGATGGCGTTTGATCCCTGGCATGGAAGCCTCTATTTAAGCCTGTCAACGGTCATCACTCTCTCTCCCTCCTTCTTTCTCTTTCTCTCTCCGTTATGGATGGAGAAACAGACCTGCACCACTGGATTTGATCAACTCAGTCAGGCACACTTAACCCTTTTCAGGACCGCGATCCAGGCAGCACCATCCAGCACCTTTGCTATCACCGAGACAAACCGCTACCCCCTCCCTGCACGACAACCTCCGAAGTATCAGTGTTGATTGATCACCTAGCTGGAAAAGAAAAGAAAAGGCAGAAGCAGATCTGTGAAAATATTATTTTATTTGCAGAGCTTCGCAATGAGCAAGGCTCTCAGTCATCATGCTCCAATTTCATATCATATGTTTGTCCAAACCACACAAGAGCCTTATGGTTCTTCAAGGAAGTCTCGCTATAGTTGCAGCCTGACACCAAGCCAAAGACGATAAGCCCCGAGACAAATTTCCATCCTCCTCTGCATGGACAATGAAACTTTTGAACTTGAACTTTAGCCTGTGGATGTTGATAGGCTCCTCAGAGCGGAGGAAATGTGTCTGTGATGAAGGGGCCGGAGGGCTCCTGACCATCGTGGACCCAGCCTGGAAGACGCTTTTCATCGCAGCACTAATGGCTCTACCTAATCAGGCCTGATTGGGGGCTGCTAAATAAATACTCTCTCCATTCATAATATCATGTGTAACTCAAGACAAAATCAATACCTGGACTGAACACTAATAGCTAGAGGCAGAACAAATGTCTCGGCTCTGCTGTGATACATTTCTTTCAGAATGAGTCCATCAGTGACGTTGGCATGGATTTTTGATACTTCCAAACAAAGGCACATTTTCATATTTTAAAGGAGCAGTGTGTCAGATTTAGGTGGATGTATTGGCAGAAGTGGAATATATCAAAATAACTGTGTTTTCTTTAGTGCACTGTCACTGGAAAACAAGAATCATTGTGTTTTCGTTACCTTAGAATGCAGCGTTTATGTCTGGATAGGGAGCGGGTCCTTGTTTATAGAGATTGTCATGTTCACTGCCATGTTTTTACAGTAGCCCAGAATGGACAAACCAAACACTGGCTCTCGACGGGGACATTTTCGCAGCAGTCACTGTAGTTTGTAGCTCCTCCCTGATGACAGTTTTAGAAAAACAGATTTATTTTTTTATGTGAAACTGTTTTATTCAGTGTTTTTACTGGGTTAACTCACCTGGTCCATCTGTTTGGAGAGGAAGAGACCTCTGTGGATAATTTGGCTCCCAGTTAAAACTTCCTGTATACTGAGTGAATTCTAACCAGGAGAAGTTTGAGTTGGTTGCAATCGGCAATCCTCACTTGCTGCAACTACATCTCCCTAGATTCTACACATTGTTCTTTTAAAGGAGCAGTGTGTAGAATTTAGTGGCGTCTAGCGGTGAATATCGCAGATTGCAACCAGCTGAAACCTCTCCCATGTGCCAAACGTGAACTCCCAGTGGTTTTTACCCTGAGACAAATTATCCGCAGAGGTCTCTTCCTCTCCAACACAAATGAACCAGGTGATTTAACCAGTAAAAAACGCAGAGTAAAGCAGTTTCATGTTATAGATTTGCATTTTTCTGACACTGTTTGGCTTGTCGCAGACGGAGCACTAGCCCAGCACCTGCTAATGTGTGCTCACCTTATTTCTCTGATAACTTAAGATGCAGACATTCAGGAAGGTTTTACTGGGAGCCAAATTATCCTCAGAGGTCTCTTCCTCTCCAAAACAAACGTACCAGATGATTTAAACCGGTAAAAACACTGAATAAATCAGTTTCACGTTACAAATCAATGTTTTTCCAATGCTGTTTGGCTCATGGTGGTGCAACTTGGTGACTTCTGTAGCCGAGGACCTGCTCCCTATGTAGATATAAACAGCTCATTCTAAGGTAACAAAAACACAATGAATCTTATTTTCAGGTGATATTCAGGTGACATTAAATTCCATTTCTACCAGCACATCTCCCTAAATCCTACACACTGGACCTTTAAAAAGAAACTCACAATTTAAAAACAGATTCATGCAAACAAATCAGAAACAAGCTTTGTTCTATCAGTGCCCTCATCAGCTACATTTTGTTCTGTTGAACTAACATCATATAAACTTATCATTAAAATCAATCTCTCTTCAAATCAATCTTTCAGAAGCAGGAGTGAATTTCAAGATACATATAAGCTCAAGGAAACAAAACAACTACAGCAACACCGACAGTAATGACAATCAAAATGAATCTGCAGATTGCAACAGTCATATTCAGTGAACAGTTAGCGTCAGTCATCAATCATGGATGAATCAAAGGTGTCTCCCCAGGAGCCAAAGCTTGATAATAAACACTGGAGTCAGACTCGACTTCTGTGGGTTTAGGAATAAATAAAGTGAACGACCCTGACATCAGCAGCTAGTAAAATGTTTGGCCGTGCAGACCGGTGGATTATGTATGAAAGAGAGCTTTGTGTTATGAGAAATAAATACAGACGGGACACAATCGTGTTTGAGTGAAAGTGTTAGGTCAGAAGTTTCACAGCAGCAAAAATACATGTGGTTTGAAACCTGTGATTTAAAGAGACGGTTCACCCCAAAGTAAAACCAACATATTTATCCTGTTACTTTTAGTGCTATTTATAAATTTAGAGAGTTTTGGTGTGAGTTGCAGAGTGTTGGAGATATCGGCCGTAAAGATGTCTGCCTTCTCACCAATATAATGGAACTAGATGGCACTCAGCTTGTGGTGCTCGTAGCGCCAAAAATATGTTTATCAATGTCTCTACAGAAATCATGACCTGGTTACTCAAGATAATCCACAGACCTTGTTGTGAGTAGTTTCATGTAGGAACTATTTTCTCTCTACCAAACTACACCGGCCAACTGTATCACCACACAGAAGGAAGTGTGCATCTACTCATGGACAAGAGGCTCGTGCTCATGAGGGTGCGAGATGTAAACATTAATGGCGCTCTCCTCGGCTGAGCTGTAACGTTAGCTACAGTGGTGGAATGTAACTGAATGTAATGAAAATTTACTCAAGTATTGTGCTTAAGGTCAAATTTGAGTACGCACAGGGGAACATATGAAGGGTGCTGCCACAATAGCGTGCGCATGACTTTGGCAAGATGGCCGCCAGCTGCAGACAACTGTTCGAGACTGGGTGTTTTTAAAGACACCAGCCGTGATTGTGCGACCAAAAGAGTGTATTTCAAGTCAAAACAAGTGGTTTTTGTGCCTCAACATGATCACATATCAACATCGAAACGAAGAGTTGAGCACTCTTCAAAGGAGCAGGAGCAGGATGACCGAAATGTTAGTGTTACTAATAAATTGTGAAGCTGAGCAAGAGCAGGATTTTCTGTTCAAGAGTCAAGACGCACCTGCATTCGAGACAGAAATGTAAAGTTTCAGCATATCCACTACATAACAACAAATGTTACGTATCTGTCTTTGGTAGAGACTTTCATTTCAAACATTTATTCTGGCGATGGGGTTGAAGAGCTACAGGAAAACTGCTCAGACATAAGCTACTTACATTAGTGGCTTCATCACTACCAAAAATGTGTGACATAATTTCTGTCTGTCTTTTCAATGATGTCAGACATCTAGTTGTCTATTTGCTAAAGCCACTCACATGCCCTGGGCAGATCATAATGTTACATCAGTTTATCTGCTGCTTCATCATTAGCTGCCATAAAACTCTGTCGCAATCAATATGCCCCTGCAGTGGAAGTCCCTTGTGTCCAAGATCTAAAAAGCAGCTCCAAAACTGTCCTGGCAATTTTCTGGTCTTTCTCAGCCTGTCAGTGCTACTGCAAATCTCTCAGCAAGTAGATGCACACTTCCTTCTGCATGGTGATACGGCTGCAGTTCGGCAGAAGTTGTAGAAATAGTTCCTGCATGAAACTGCTCCCAACAAGACATGTGGATTATCTTGAGTAACCAGGTCCTGATTTCTGTAAAGAGACATTGATGCTGAGTTTTTTAAATGTATTTTTTGGCACTTTGAGCACCACAAGCTGAGTGTCATCTAGTTCCATTATATTCGAGAGAAGGCAGACGTGTCTACGGCTGATATCTCCAACAATCAGCAACTCACACCAGAACGATCTACACTGATAAACAGCACTACAGGTAAGAGGAAAAATGTGTATTTTGGATTTTGAGGTGAACTGTCCCTTTAAATTAAATGTGTTCAATTTATCGTCTGCTCCACTTCTGTGTCTCTGTAACTGTAACACCACGAACAGCTGTAAAGCATTATGAGCCACCCTATAACATCTGCAACATCTGACCTGCTTAATATGACAAAAACACCACTGAAGACTCTAAAGTCACATGTATGATGAACAGTGATGATGGTTTTGTTTGTTGTGTTTGTAGTTTATTTCGTCTGAGCTCAGGTTGGTTGGCGAGTTACTTGGCCAGTCTCCTCGCCACGTCTTTGTAGGCGGTCTCGATCTCGGAGTCAGCAGCGCAGGTGTTGGTGAATTCATCACGTGTGTAGGCATTCTTCAGATACCGCCACACCCCCGTCATGTCTGAGGGGATGTCGTAGTTGCGGTACTTTTTAGCAACAACCTGAAAGAGAAGGTAAAGCTGTAACTTCAGGAACTGAAGACAGGCTTGAAGTTTAAAATCAGCTCTTAGACAGTCTCATAACTGCACCATCACTTTACATGCAGTGCATTCCCAGAGGTATTTTCAGAAAAGTTTTCCTGTGTTGTATCATAGGCACTCTAATGTTTATACACTATTTTCTACACTTGAATGACTATAAGTTATTAAAAATGCCCCGTATGAGTTTGAATTTTACCTTAAAATAGCCTCAAACATGAGAACTTTATGTCCTAAACTATAAATCAAATACTCCTCTTATTATATTATATATTAACACGTATGAATATTTCTCCCTCTTTACCTTGACTATGTGCAGTTTGGGCAGCAGGTTGCAGTCTGCAAGAGTGAGCTCATTTCCATCCAGGAAGCATCGGGTGGAGCCTTTCTCCTCCTCCATGCTGTCTGCGTCGATCTCATCTGGCAGGATGCTGTTCAGGTAATCGTCCAGCTTCTTCAGGGCCTTGGTCAAACCTTTCTCTAGAACTGAACACAGAAATACACACGTGACTATGAGTACAGCACTGCTACTTTAATATCACTGCTATTTTTAACAGTAAGAAAAAAGAGTACAAAGACCTAAAATTAAGACAAGATATATAATGAAAATCAAATAACAAAAACAAACAGAAACAACAACCAAACAAAAAAAATAAAAAATAATTTGATTTAATTTATAAAATAGAATAAAATAAAATAATATTAAATTAAATTAAATCAAATCAAATTAAATTGTTAAAAAATTATTTATTTATTTATTTAATTTAACTTTTATTTAACCAGGAAGTCCCACTGAGATTGAAAATCTCTTTACAAGAGAGACCTGGTCGAGGTAGCAGCCAATCAAACACACATTTAAAATGCAACAAATACAACATTTAACACAAAAATCCACAATAAAACAACAGCTATTCAAACATTGTGGCCTCTCAAGAATAACAAGCACATGTCTCTGTGACCACGTTCTGAGTGAGCAGTGACAGGGACAACCAGGTGAGTTTACTGGTGTGTAATTATTCTGTTATATTTGTTACTCCCCACTTATTACTCTTAAATAAATATGGACATTGAGTGGAGATGAAATGAACTGCTGACTGTGAAGGTGTTGTGTGTTGGGTGGGAATTGCATGCAAATCTTTAATGAGCTCAACCGCACATATTCTCCCTGCACGCTCTAATCTGTAGCATTTCATTTACACTCTGACATCCACCTTTTTTGAGAATATTTCTCTGCCCTCTTTGTGTTTCCACCATTTTCTCCCCTGATTAAGAAACTCTGAAGCCTCTTAAAAGTCCTCCTCCCTGCTCCCGACAGTTTTCACCTTAGGAGCCCTTTAAAGGTCTGAGATGCTCTGTGAATAACTTTATCTTTAAGTCTTTATCTTTATGTCTCATAGGATTCAGTAGAACATGTACATTTTTTCTTTTGCATTCAAAATTTTTCCAATCCCATCATCAAGGTGGGACTCAAATCTTCCACAGAGATGTTTTACTATTGATTGTAGGGATGTTCACAAACATTTAATTATGAATATAACGTATAGCTTCCCTAGAGATGAAGCTGTCTGCAGTATCTTTTCCAAATGATTCATGTACAAAATACTCTTCTTTACTAGTAGGGGTTTGATGTAACTCTTAAAATGTCAATAGAAGAAAAAATTGTGTATGAGGAAATTCAGTCTTTAAGGATTTAAGAGCCCACCTCAGAGGGGATCTTCTATATTAGAGACTTTACTGATAGAAGTCCTCTCAAAAACTGTTTTGGCACCTGTTGTATGTAATCCTGATTTTGCATCTCGTTCAGATTTGGGTATGAAAACACTGACGGATGCTGGTATTTCTAAAGGACAACACTGTGACAAGGTAAAAGTGTGTGGGGGTAACGTCACTAGGTGGCAGCACTGCAGAATATATGAGTCAGAGCAAGCCTCAACTCCTGGACTCTGCTACGACCTAGTGGAGGAACAGAATAAATGCTGTCATGTTCTCTTTTCTGTTGTGTGTGTGTGTGTGTGTGTAAATGGCATGAAATGAGCAGCCCACCGGCGTTGGCCTCTGGTTTGGTGTTCTTGATGTAGGCTGAGAACTTGGCGAAGATGTCGTTTCCAGCTGTGTTCGACTCTCTCTGCTTGGCGGCAAGTTTGGGATACCTGAGCAGACGTTAGAGGAGGGAGGGAGACGCAGTCAGAGACGCAGGCAGGGACCAAAGCATCTGGATAGCATTAACACCTGGACTGGAGCTGGGCTCAGGCTGAAAGCATGTTACACCGAGTTGGCCGCCCGCCCCTGAAGCTCTCTCACACTAAGGTCCATTTATAATGCAAAAAACTTTACAGGCAATAAAAGAAAGATTTAGTTGATCTGACTTTTTTCTCAGCAACTGCTCGCACACAGGTTTTTTCTTTTCGTCGTCTTAATAAACGACAATAACAAAAAACAATAAACCTGTCTTGAGTTTTCCTAAAATTAAAGTGTGTGTCTGAATGAAGCACACATAGTCATTGTTTGTGTGCCTCACACACACACACACCCATTCACTAAAGATTTACAGCAGCCATAAACAACAAACACTTGTATCAGTTAACATCAATCTTTATCAAATGCAGCACGTATTCCCCCTTTTGTTGGACTAAAATGTTTCCTGCCCTTTCAACAGTGTCACTGAAGTGAAATAAATCCAGCCCAAAGCAGCGTGTGTGCAGTCAGCGATACTGTAAACTACGCGTTGTAAAGCTGTCCGGTTGAATTACTTTGGAGGACACAGCGTCTCCTCCAGAAACTCCTCAATCTTGTTGATGTCGGTCTTGACTTCTCCGTTGAATGTCAGGAAAGGAGGGTGTGTCCCCGGAGCCAGGTTGTGCAGATCTGCGGGCTTTCTGCAGAGGTCACAGAGACAGCAGTGTGTCATGAAGGGCACAAGTGTGTGTGTTTGTGCACCGGAAGCTGTTCCTGTATCCTCACCTTTTGAGGTCGACGGTGGTGACGTTGAACACGACTCCTTTGAGCCAGAGGATCATGAAGAGGCGCTGAGAGAAGGGACAGTTGCCGATGCTTTCTCCATCGTTGCCCGCCTGCACGCAAACAAGACGATGGAAAACAAGTCAGAGCGATGAAATATGACACAGTGTGGAAATATAGTGTACACAGGAGAACATGTGCATACAGTGGATGGACAACAGCAGCTGTAGTGTGAAAAAGAACCACAGAGTTAACCTCCTCATATGAGGACATTACATTTTGGGTTTACTTGACCTTATACTTCATTCTGCTTAACTCAGACCTGTTGTCCTCATTCATGGATACTTTTTGTGCCATCTAGTGGTAGTAAGAGCACAATACACTAATCCTTGTAAAAACAAGATGGCAGCCATCTCTGCCAAGTCAGTCTGCAGCCGATCCCGACACAAAAGTCCAAAACCTGATCACAGTTTATGGTTTATTCATGATTAATAATGTTTGTAGTTTGATATGGCAACAAATTTGACCAATTTTAGCAACAGTAACAAGCTAAGACGCTGTTAATTAGGAAATACTCGTCTAAGGACATTGGGACTTTTTTACCGTCTTGTTTGCGGACATTGGTATTTAATTTTTCTCACGTGCCTTCAGTAAAACAGACTCCAAAATCTAAGAAAATTCTTGGTGAAGTGAAGTCACAGGGGTTCACATGCGAGTAATAAACTCTCACATAACTCATGCAGTTGAATCCAAGTCTCATTTACCCAGTCGTATGTCGTACTTCCCAAACAGACAGCTCTTTCAGACCGCGAACTGAAAAGGAGAGTGAAACTTATCCATGCTCTCTGTTCAAAGCCAGACTCCATTGACAAAAACAGTAATTTTCCCTCGCTCAACACAGGAGCTGCTGGTCTACCTCTGCCTCGATCAGTTAGTTAGTTTGTGTTATTGTGTGACATTGGTGAATCTGAACTAACCCTTTAAAACACCAGAGTCACACAATAACACAAACAGACTGACTGAGCGACGAGGTGTATTTTTTACACTTTAAACCACATCTCAACCGAGAAAAGTGTCTCCTTTGGATAAAGTTGTGTGGTAACGTTAGACCACAACATCAACTCAACGTGAATAAGATTAACAATGATGTCTACATCTGTTATAAGGTAAGTCAACATCGTGTTTGAGGCAACATATTGTCACTTTGCTGGAAAGAAATATAAAGTTATCTTTAACATCTCTAGCTAACGTTAGCTAAAGTTAGCCTAACGTTAGCTCCTAGCTGCGTTGTTCATCAAGTCACCTTGTTTGCTGGGAGTTCATTAGCCTATTTTGTTCTAGTTTTGTACTTTGGTGATCGTACATCATTGTTAGCTGTTGTCCAAATGGCTCTAGTTAAGCTAACGTTAACTTCTGGAGCTTAGCTTCATTAACTTATCTGTAATGGCAGAGATAACAAAGGTTGGCAAACGTTATGCTGAATGATTCAGTGTAAATACTGTAGCACCAAACTAACGGAGAGACACTCTTGGTAAAGATGGTAAAAAGGCCGTTATCCTTTTCTCATATTCTGAGCCAAAAACATTAACTTCAGTGGCACTTTAACTTGTTGTCTTTGATGGTGACGGCAACCAGATGCAGTTCACAAGCGTACACTGTGACCTGTAAATTTTGGCTTGTAATTTAAGCTTTTCATCGACCTTCTCAACAATAAAATGATGAATATATCCCTCCAATGCGTAGTTTAGGCCCTTTTGGTTACTTCTCAATGACATCTGACCGTTATGTCCCCAAAAATCATCAATTGCCTCCTGAGAAATGCCGTGTACTGTGACACCTGCCATAGCGCCGGTCACTGAATGTTGGTTTTGTCAATGAGTTTGGCTTTGATGAGAGCATGGATAAGATTGACTTTCTGTTCAGGTCCCCATCTAAAAGGACTGTCTGCTTGTGAAATACTGAGCATACGACTGGATAAATGAGACCTGGATTATATTGCATGAGTTGTGTGAGAGTTTGTAAACAAATTTTGATGTATTTTTGCTCTTATCAAACATGGACCCCGATCAAGACTTCTCCATTGGTGGATTTTTCGTTCACTGTGGAGGCATGTGAGAAAGTTTTCTTCGACACATTTCTGAACACATTAGAGCTGCAGTGTTTCAGTGATTAGGTGATTATTCGACGGTTCCAGACTCTCAAATGTTGGAATTTGTTGCTTTTCCTTGACTTTTCTTGTAGAAGACAGATTCAATTTGGATTTTTAAACTGCTGGTTGGACAAACCAGACATGTGATGACATCACCCTGGGCTCAAGTAAACTGTGATGGACATTTTTCACACATTTTTTAAATGAGGAAATAATCGTCAATGAAATGATAATAAAAATAATTTCCCCCTACTCGCTACACCAGCTTCATGCTTTTGGGAAAATCACACAATGTTTCCTCTCTCCAAGAACAAACTTGTTACTAACAACTAAACACATATTGGACCTAGCTGACTTATCTTTAACTTTATTTGACCAGGAAGGTTGTTCAGAGACGCGTCATGGGTTGTTTAAATGTAAACATTACATCAACACGCATAAATACGTGACCCTTAAGGGGACTCACTACAGGTGATAACAGTTTTTCATGTGCTTCATCTGGCCTTTCTTTCCTTACAGTGGTCAAGTTTGACATTTGGGGTTATTTTGCTTCCATAACGTCTCCTTTCAGACAAGTTGTGAGAAAACGTTTAACATACACATTTAAGTGTGTAATTTAGTTCAGTTTTCTGGAAATTCACACAAAAAGTGCGTAGTTACTTACATAATGCATCATTTGCATATTTAAACTAATAACATTTCAGAAAACTTGTAAAAATATAATTGTTTTAATCTAACTAATCAGCTGGGGAAGTTCCATGGTATCTAATAATTAAATTCGTACTCTTTTCATATGTAGGGTTTTATTTTTAGTCTTAAAGTATATGGAATTTTATGGTAAATGTCTTTAAAGGTAAGTTTTTCCTCAAACTCTGAGCCTAAAATCTCCACTTCAGTAGCGCTTACATACACCACACTTTCCAGTTTTATTCCCGTTTCTGAAGTTTTTTACAGAGGAGTTTGTTCATTAATCATATATGGCCTGATTCATAGAACATTTTATTCCTAAAACATGGAGACAATTATTTGATTTGTTTGTTTGTTTGTTTTACGGCTGTTGACAGTATCTTCTGATTTATAAGATGAGAAATAAAATGAATCCAAAATCCCCTCTGTAAAAACACCATTTGACTGTGATATGATAATAAAATTAAACAAGAATTTGAATCTGGCTTTATTCAATGTTCAGATTTCGGTTCTGGGAATTCATGCAAATTAGTGCATATTTAATTAAATAAAGTTTACCTTACCTTACCTTACCTAATTAGATATTGCCTCATTTGAATATTTAAACAGAAAACTTTTAATACAAAAAATAACTGTCTTAATGTAAGTAATAAATGAGGAAGATTCATCTTTTAGTTAAAAGTTTTACCCTATTCATGTGGAGAGTCTTCCCTTAAATCCCAGATAGAAATTAATGATAAAGCGAGAGTCAATACAAAAAGATTAAATTCTAGATTTGGGCATAGAACAAAAGCTAAAGCATCGTGTTTTTTCTCTGGCAGATTTGCATTTTATCCGAATGGTTTTGAAATTATTTCATCAATGGATCCAGAATTTTTAATCCTATAAATTAAGCATTAGATTTGGAGTTGCAGGTTTTCTCCTCAGCAGTGTCACGACTGATGGAATCACTTCCTCTTCGCCGTGAATTTGTGCACATGCAGTGAGATCGTGTGTCGGCATGTAGGGATACACAGCTGAGCCTCAGCACTGACACCTGACCCACTGGCCCAGTTGAATTATACATAGTGATCCGATCAGCTGGTTCACTGGCCGACAGGACACACACACACACAACGCAGGGTCAGAGCTGCAGGCCTGCAGTCACACACAGCTCCACAACACACAGCTGAACAAGTGCACTGACCTCGAGGTCAACACAGATCTGACAGCGGAGACAGTTTCCTTCATTTAGACATGATTTGGAAATTAAAATCTCTTTATTGAGAATCATGTAGATTAATTTTACTTGTCCTTGCAGCAGCAGCAGTCACTTCACAAATAAGAGACACCACAGTGAAGTGGAAAACATTTTGTCATTCAGCTTCGGCACACTGCTCCGAGCAAACACCAGAACACAGAGCCGTCAGTCTAAAAGTAGCTGAGCCAACTGTATGGACGCCAGCCATTGATGCCGGGTGCTGTCATGCAGCCTGAGCGCATGTGATGCTTCTGTCTGAGCATTGTTATGGCTGGGCTCAGCGGCACGGCCGTACCACAATACACAGCCGCTGATAATAGCCAATCAACATCTAGAACACGGAGGACAAAAGCTGTCACACACAACTGGGCCTGTGGGCAGAAGGAGCGTGAGCGTGTGGAGCTGCTGAGAGATCTGTGATGAGTGAAGGCAACGTTACTTCATATGACCCGTCACATACATGTACACTAATGATATCACTGAGTTTGGGTGCCCTTAGTTTGTTTTACCACATAATTAAATAAGAATAAATGACAGTTTTTATATTTCTTGTGTTTTTAAGTTTGTCTATAATAAATTTATACTGCAGTATTTGGCTATTAACTCATTTACCTTTACAAATACACTCTGAATAATAATGTGAGTAAATGATACACTCCCCAGCCACTTTATTAGGTACACCTGTTCAACTGCTCATTAACACAAACAGCTACTCAGCCAATCACGTGACAGCAGCTCAATGCCTTTAGTCATGTAGACATGGTGAAGACGAGCTGCTGAAGTTCAAACCGAGCATCAGAATGATGAAGAAAGGTGATTTAAGTGACTTTGAACGTGGCATGGTTGTTGGTGCCAGACGGGCTGGTCTGAGTATTTACTGGGATTTTCAGCACAACCATCTCTAGGGTTTACAGAGGATGGTCACAAAAAGAGAAAATATCCAGTGAGCCAAAATGCCTTGTTGATGCCAGAGGTCAGAGGAGAATGGCCAGACTGGTTCAAGATGATAGAAAGGAAACAGGAAGTCAAATAAGCAC